CCTGTGTCCCCTGCATCGGCAGGCGGACTCTGAACCACTGCGCCACCAGGGAAGCCCCAAGCCCCCCTTTCTTTTTAAGGAAGATATTTATATCACTTTCACATACATCCAGCCCTCTGAACCTGGGCAGAAGTTGCATGGCCACATGTAATGTTCAGCTCAATGACCATGTATCCAGCTGAGACTTCTTTTACCATAGAGAGAGGAAGGATAGATACTGGTATTTGTTTCTGCCACTGGCTGTTGTCTGGATAAAAAAACCCACAAATAGTAATAACTGCTATTTTTATGATGCCTAGTAGTTTATCTCATATTTCAAACACAGTAGTTCAAGTGATTTTAGAGATCCCAGAACTGAAGCCTAGATTCTATGTGGCATATAAAACAGAGTGTTGTATAGTAGAGTAATATTGGACTTTGGTGTCTAACAGTCCTGGAGTCAAGTCTTGACTCCTAATTCAAGATTTACTCATCTGTGAGCTTCTCTGTACTCATTTATAGAATGAATTTGTAATGGCAAGACTAACAGGATTGTTGTGTGGCTCATTTGACATACATATTGAAATTTTTGGTTTATGGTGATTGTTCAAGAAAAGCAGCTCCTGCTCTTTCATCATTTCTACCCCCGTCCCATCATAACTGGGCTGCCCCTGTGTAAATGTACATTTTAATAACAGCCAGAGGGCCATGTGATTAATGGCTAAGCAAATGATAGAGATGATGGTTGTTAGGAACTCAGAGATGGATGAGATCATTGTAGATGGAAAGGGTTCTTAGAATTTGAACCTTGAGTGGGACTGCAAGGAGATTTAGCATTTTGAAAAGCTGAGAGAAGAGAAGTCTTTTTAGGTGAGGGAAATAACATGAGCAAAATAGAATAAAAATTCTAAATGCAGTGAGTAGATCAGTCTGGTTAGTGAGTAGACCCTCAGTTTGATTTTAGCAAAATGCAAGTGTGTAAGAGTAGAAGGAGGTAGTGGGAAAGTCTTTGAGAAGTAGATGGGGTTCAGATTATGGTATTTAGCTTTAGGGAAAATAGGTATTTTGTTGAACACATGCCTAATGTATTCATTTTATATGCAACAAACATTTTTTTACTGCCTTAAGTTAGACACTATGTTATGTGCAATGAGCGACTTAAGAATGGTTTCTTGGAGGCTATGTTCTAATAGCAAGATGAGACTACACAAACCTTGCTAACACAAGGTAAAAGTGAAAAGTGCCATCAGAGAGGTATAGAGTAAGTGCTGTGAGGGTTCATCAGAAAGGGAGATTACTGCTGGCAGTGGGAATCGAGCTGCGTAGTGAATTCTACAGTTGTGTGAATTTCACTTATGCTTATTCACAATGAAAATAATTACTGTGTAGTTTAACTACAAGTGTTTGAGGATTAAAAATAAGTATTGAGCACAAACAAGAGAAGATTATTGTGGAATAAATAGAATTTATGTTATTGAGAAACCTTGAAATTTTTTTTCTGTGGCTTTTAGCATCTAAATTTATATTGACTAGTTTCATAATAGGGCACGTTAAAAATAGTGTGCTTTATCCTGGAATTTGAGAGAGATGAAATGCTGAATAGTGTTATGAGAATCAACACAGACAGACGGTATGATGAATTCTGATAAACTGTACTTTAAAGCTTGTTTATTGCATGTTTAAAAATTCTTCCACATTACAAATGGTAATAAGGATTGCATAATCTATATTTATAATTTGTTTTATATATATAATTTGTCTACTAATTTAGGAATGCACTGTCACCTTTTTTTTTTTTTTTAATGTATTACACTGTTAGATAACAGTTTTTTAATGCAGTAAGCCATAGCAGCCTGTATTTAAAGTTTGTTTTTTGGTTTGCTTTTGCAAAGCATGTTAAATTTTGTTATTTTATATGATGCAGATATTTTCTAACTTCATAGTTATGAAGTATACATAATAGATTTAAGAATTAGAAGTTTCTCTGACATTTCTTTGAAAAATAAGTTCTTGATTTTACCCCCCTCCCGCTTGATTTAGGTCAAAGTTGGAAATTGCAATACTCCTAAACCAAGCTTCTTTGACTTTGAAGGAAAGCAAAAATGGTAAGAAATTCTTGGGATCTAATGTGGTTGTTGTAAATGGCTTAGGTGTTTAGGAATTAGAAAGTAGTGAGCAGATTAAAGAATTAGTTTTCTATTAATCTCTTTCTGCTGTAGACTGTGCTAATGATAGGCAGTTGGGAGAGAGATTAAAAGAATCCGATTTTAGATAAATCTCCTAAAGGATTCTTATGCCATGATGTTGGTGTATAAGTAGTTCACAACAGACACACATTCCTTACATATGAATTGCTTCTTAGAGAGTGACCAAAAGAGCTATTGGTTGGAATTTTCCTTCTCTGTCATACAGCCCCTAATGGGTCACCACTTCTCCCCTCTGGAGGGATCTTTGGAAGAAGGCCAGGAGGATGGGAAGGTAGAAGAGCAGGGTAGATCCCCAGTTTTTTACTCTTCTCCCCTTCCCAATTCTGTCTGCTCATTTCTAGTGCCCTTCTGTTCCTTGCCCACCCACACCATGGTGAAGAAGTGCGTATAATATACCCTGTTGGGCAGAAGGGGGAAAAAATAGATACTGGGTCTACTTCTTTCCTGAATACAGAAAAAGATTATGCCCTCCTAGATTTTTTTAATTATAATTCAGAGATTACCTCTTATCGTTTGAGACCTTATTTCCTCTTACCTTGTCTAAGTGAAAAGAGAGAAATTGCATACAATAGGGAACCTTAGTTATAGAAGGAAGGACTTTGGAGCATCAGCTCTGGAATGAAGAGTAGAGAGAGTAGGGTTTAAAAAGAGAAGATGAAATATGGTTATAGAGAGAAGAAGCGTATTTCACAATGTGGTCCCCTGGACAAGTTGCCTGTCTAGGAAATGTTTGTTACTCAGCTCTGAGGAGATGTAGAGCTTGAACCCGAATGCAAATATTAATGTCATTAAGCACAACTGTTTAGTTCAGCTGACTTTTTTTTTTTTGTGTAAGACATTCTCAGTGAAGGAAGCAGTGCTTTGATTTTCATTCTGGCGCAGGTTTTCTTTGCTGATGATAACAAAAAGTTCTCTGACTGGCATTTTATTACTGTTGTAGCGAGTACCTGATGTAAATTTTATTGTGAGTTTTTTGTTTTAGTTTAAGAATTATAATTCACCATTATTTTTTTCCCCAAGTTTGCCTGTTATCTCACTGTTTTTAATAATTTTTAAAAGTTTAGACTTTACAACCACTATAATAATAATTCAGTCAAGAATCATCAATGGATGTTAAAATCATTAGATGAAAAACTACTAGGGAACAATATTCACACAATCTGATCCACAGTTTACTTATTAATTACAAAGAGGAAACCGGGAGATACGGCTTTTACTAAGTCCTGACTCCTATCATGATGGGACAAACTGCTGTCATGTGATGAATTGTAAACGACATGTCACCTATATGTTGCTCTTGCCAAATATTTAACCTGATTCTAGTCATGATTAATCATTTTTGGCAAGAACACTCTGTAGGTAAGGAAACAATCAGACATACAAATTGAAAGATATTTTATAAAACAGCTGGTTCAGACTCTTAGAAAATAGCAATATCATGGAAGACAAAAAGTGTAAAGATACATGAAACTCAGTGCTGTGTGTAAATCTTGATTGGCTCCTCATCTGGGAGAAGAAAGCTATAAAGAACCTTTTGGGGAAGTCGGGGAAATCTGAATATGGTCTATATACGTTTATTTAATAGTACTCATATTAAGTTTCTTCACTTTGAAGAATATATATTTGGCTGATATATTTGGGCTAAAGTGTTATGATGTATACAAGTAACTTTCAAGAGATTCAGCAAAAATAAATTTAGGAAACCTCAGAAAGATGTTCTGTTCATCATAGGAGCAGGCAGGTAGTGAGAAAACTGTGGGACTGAGTTCTGTTTTACAGTAGATCAGTGGCTGTACTTCCCAGTTGGAGGTAGAAAGAATTGGCAGGGAAAAGCCAAGAAGGAGGCCTGTCCTAGCAGCTGGCAAAAAAGAAGAAAAGGAAAACACAGAAGGGGGCTCAGGACTAAAATATTGCCCTTGGTATTAAACTGCAGGAAGTCCCTACCCTTGTTTTTTTTTTTTTTGAATTTTATTTTATTTATTTTTTTATACCACAGGTTCTTATTAGTTATACATTTTATACATATTAGTGTATATATGTCAATCCCAATCTCCCAATTCATCACACCACCACCACCCCTCCCCTGCCACTTTCCCCCCTGGGTGTCCATATATTTGTTCTCTACATCTGTGTCTCAATTTCTGCCCTGCAAACCGGTTCGTTTGTACCATTTTTCTAGGTTCTACATATATGCGTTAATATACGATATTTGTTTTTCTCTTTCTGACTTACTTCATTCTGTATGACAGTCTCTAGATCCATCCACGTCTTTACAAATGACCCAATTTCGTTCCTTTTTATGGCTGAGTAATATTCCATTGTATATATGTACCACATCTTCTTTATCCATTCGTCTGTCGATGGGCATTTAGGTTGCTTCCATGTCCTGGCTATTGTAAATAGTGCTGCAGTGAACATTGGGGTACATGTGTCTTGTTGAATTATGGTTTTCTCTGGGTATATGCCCAGTAGTGGGATTGCTGGGTCATATGGTAATTCTATTTATAGTTTTTTAAGGAACCTCCATACTGTTTTCCATAGTGGCTGTATCAATTTATATTCCCACTAACAGTGCAGGAGGGTTCCCTTTTCTCCTCACCTTCTCCAGCATTTGTTTGTAGATTTTCTGATGATGCCCATTCTGACTGGTGTGAGGTGATACCTCATTGTAGTTTTGATTTACATTTCTCTAATAATTAGTGATGTTGAGCAGCTTTTCATGTGCTTCTGGGCCATCTGTATGTCTTCTTTGGAGAAATGTCTATTTAGATCTTCTGCCCATTTTTGGATTGGGTTGTTTGTTTCTTTAATATTGAGCTGCATGAGCTGTTTATATATTTTGGAGATTAATCCTTTGTCCATTGATTCATTTGCAAATATTTTCTCCCATTCTAAGCGTTCTCTTTTTGTCTTGTTTGTAGTTCCCTTGGCTGTGCAAAAGTTTTTAAGTTTCATTAGGTCCCATTTGTATATTTTTTTATTTCCATTACTCTAGGAGGTGGATCAAAAAAGATCTTGCTGTGATTTATGTCAAAGAGTGTTCTGTGTTTTCCTGTAAGAGTGTTATAGTGTCTGGTCTTACATTTAGGTCTCCAATCCATTTTGAGTTTATTTTTGTGTGTGATGTTAGGGATTGTTCTAATTTCATTCTTTTACATGTAGCTGTCCAGTTTTCCCAGCACCACTTATTGAAGAGACTGTCTTTTCTCCATTGTACATCCTTGCCTCCTTTGTCATAGATTAGTTGACCATAGGTGCATGGGTTTATCTCTGGGCTTTCTATCCTGTTCCATTGATCTCTCTTTCTGTTTTTGTGCCAGTACCATATTGTCTTGATTACTGTAGCTTTGTAGTATAGTCTGAAGTCAGGGAGTCTGATTCCTCCAGCTCCGTTTTTTTCCCTCAAGACCGCTTTGGCTATTCGGGGTCTTTTGTGTCTCCATACAAATTTTAAGATATTTTGTTGTAGTTCCATAAAAAATGCCATTGGTAGTTTGATAGGGATTGCTTTGAATCTGTAGATTGCTTTGGGTAGTAGAGTCGTTTTCACAATGTTGATTCTTCCAATCCAAGAACATGGTATATCTCTCCATCTGTTTGTATCATCTTCAATTTCTTTCATCAGTGTCTTATAGTTTTCTGCCTACAGGTCTTTTGTCTCCCTAGGTAGGTTTATTCCTAGGTATTTTATTCTTTTTGTTGCAGTGGTAAATGGAAGTGTTTCCTTAATTTTCTGATCTTTCATTGTTAGCGTATAGGAATGCAAGAGATTTCTGTGCATTAATTTTGTATCCTGCAACTTTACCAAATTCATTGATTAGCTCTATAGTAGTTTTCTGGTGGCATCTTTAGGATTCTCTATGTATAGTATCATGTCATCTGCAAACAGTGACAGTTTTACTTCTTCTTTTCCAATTTGTATTCCTTTTATTCCTTTTTCTTCTCTGATTGTTCATATTTTCTATTTCTTCTTGCTTCAGTCTTGGAAGGTTATTCTTTTCTAAGAATTTGTCTGTTTCTTCCAGGTTGTCCATTTTATTGGCATAGAGTTGCTTGTAGTAGTCTCTTAGGATACTTTGCATTTTTGCAGTGTCTGTTGTAACTTCTCCTTTTTTCATTTCTAATTTTATTGATTTGAGTCCTCTCCTGCTTTTTCTTGGTGAGTCTGGCTAATGGTTTATCAATTTTGTTTCTCTTTTCAAAGAACCAGCTTTTAGTTTTATTGATCTTTGCTGTTGTTTTCTTTGTTTCTATTTTATTTATTTCTGCTCTGATCATTATGATTTCTTTCCTTCTACTAACTTTGGGTTTTGTTTGTTCTTCTTTCTCTAGTTGTTTTAAGTGTAGAGTTAGATTGTTTATTTGAGATGTTGTTTCCTGAGGTAGGATTGTATTGCTATAAACTTCCTTCTTGGAACTGCTTTTGCTGCATCCCATAGGTTTTGGATCATCGTGTTTTCATTGTCATTTGTCTTTAGGTAGTTTTTTATTTCCTGTTTGATTTCTTCAGTGATCTCTTGGTTATTTCGTAACGTATTGTTTAGCCTCCTGTTTTTTACGTTTTTTCCCCTGTAATTGATTTCTAATCTCATAGTGTTGTGGTCAGAAAAGATGCTTGATATGATTTCAGTTTTCTTAAATTACTGAGGCTTGATTTGTGACCCAAGATATGATCTATCCTGGAGAATGTTCTGTATGCACTTGAGAAGAAAGTGTAATCTGCTGTTTTGGATGGAATGTCCTATAAATATCAATTAAATCTTTCTGGTCTGTTGTGTCATTTAAAGCTTGTGTTTCCTTATTAATTCTCTGTTTGGATGATCTGTCCATTGATATAAGTGAGGTGTTAAAGTCTCCCACTGTTATTTGTTACTGTCGATTTCCTCTTTTATAGCTGTTAGCTGTTGCCTTGTGTATTGAGGTGCTCCTATGTTGGGTGCATATATATTTATAATTGTTTTATCTTCTTCTTGGATTGATCCCTTGATCATTATGTAGTGTCCTTCCTTGTCTCTTTTAACATTCTTTATTTTAAAGTCTATTTTATCTCATATGAGAATTGCTACTCCAGCTTTCTTTGGATTTCCATTTGCATGGAATATCTTTTTCCATCCCCTCACTTTCAGTATGTATGTGTCCCTAGATCTGAAGTGGGTCTCCTGTAGACAGCATATATACAGATCTTGTTTTTGTATCCATTCAGCCAGTCTATGTCTTTTGGTTGGAACATATAATCCATTTACATTTAAGGTAGTTATCGATATGTATGTTTCTGTGACCATTTTCTTAATTGCTTTGGTTTTTTGGTTTTTTGGGTTTTTTTGCGGTACATGTGCCTCTCACTGTTGTGGCGTCTCCAGTTGCGGAGCACAGGCTCTGGACACGCAGGCTCAGCGGCCATGGGTCACGGGCCCAGCTGCTCCGCGGCATGTGGGATCTTCCCAGACTGGGGCACGAACCCGTGTCCTCTGCATCAGCAGGCAGACTGTCAACCACTGCACCACCAGGGAAGCCCTTGGGTTTGTTTCTGTAGGTCCTTTTCTTCTCTTGTGTTTCCTGCTTAGAAAAGTTCCTTTATCATTTGTTGTAGAGCTGGTTTGGTGGTGCTGAATTCTCTTAGCTTTTGCTTGTATGCCAAGCTTTTGATTTCTCCATCGAATCTGAATGAAATCCTTGCCAGGTAGAGTAATCTTGGTTGTAGGTTCTTCCCTTTCATCACTTAAAATATGTCATGCCACTCCCTTCTGGCTTGTAGAGTTTCTGCTGAGAAATCAGATGTTAACCTTATGGGAGTTCCCTTGTATGTTATTTGTTGTTTTTCCCTTGCTGCTTTCAATAGTTTTTCCTTGTCTTTAATTTTTGCCAGTTTGATTACTATGTGTCTCCACGTGTTTCTCCTTGGGTTTATCTTGTATGGGACTCTGTGTGCTTCCTGGACTTGGGTGGCTCTTTCCTTTCCCATGTTAGGGAAGTTTTCGACTATAATCTCTTCACATATTTTCCTTTCACTCTCTCTTCTCCTTCTGGGACCCCTACAATGCGAATGTTCTTGCGTTTAATGTTGTCCCAGAGGTCTCTTAGGCTGTCTTCATTTCTTTTCATTCTTTTTTCTTTATTCTGTTCCGCAGCAGTGAATTCCACCATTCTGTCTTCCAGGTCACTTTTCCGTTCTTCTGCCTCAGTTATTCCACTATTGATTCCTTCTAGTGTATTTTTCATTTCACTTATTGTATTGTTCATCTCTGTTTGTTTATTCTTTAATTCTTCTAGATCTTTGTTAAACATTTCTTGCATCTTCTCGATCTTTGCCTCCATTCTTTTTCCGAGGTCCTGTATCATCTTCACTATCATTATTCTGAATTCTTTTTCTGGAAGATTGCCTATCTCTACTCATTTAGTTGTTTTTCTAGGGTTTTATCTTTTTCCTTCATCTGGTGCATAGCCCTGCCTTTTCATGTTGTCTATCTTTCTGTGAATGTGATTTTTGTTCCACAGGCTGCAGGATTGTAGTTCGTGCTTCTGCTGTCTGCCCTCTGGTGGATGAGGCTATCTGAGAGGCTTGTGCATGTCTCCTGATGGGAGGGAATGGTGGTGGGTAGAGCTGGCTGTTGCTCTGGTGGGCAGAGCTCAGAAACACTTTAATCCGTTTGTCTGCTGATGGGTGGGGCTGGATTCCCTCCCTGTTGGTTGTTTGGCCTGAGGTGACCCAACACTGGAGCCTACCCAGGCTCTTTGGTGGGGCTAATGGCTGACTCTGGGAGGGCTCACGTCAAGGAGTACTTCCCAGAACTTCTGCTGCCAGTGTCCTTGTCCTCACGGTGAGACACAGCCACCCCCTGCCTCTTCAGGAGACCCTCCAACACTAGCAGGTAGGTCTGGTTCAGTCTCCTGTGGGGTCACTGTTTCTTCCCTTGGGTCCCGATGTGCACACTACTTTGTGTGTGCCCTCCAAGAGTGGAGACTCTGTTTCCCCCAGTCCTGTTGAAGTCCTGAAATCAAATCCTGCTAGCCCTCAAAGTCTGATTCTCTGGGAATTCCTCCTCCCGTTGCCGGACCCCCAGGTTGGGAAGCGTGACATGGGGCTCAGAACCTTCACTCCAGTGGGTCGACTTCTGTGGTATAGTTGTTCTCCAGTTTGTGAGTCAGCCACCCAGCACTTATGGGATTTGATTGTATTGTGATTGCGCCCTTCCTACTGTCTCATTGTGGCTTCTCCTTTGTCTTTGGATGTGGGGTGTCTTTTTTGTTGAGTTCCAGTGTTTTCCTCTTGATGCTTGTTCAGCAGTTGGTTGTGATTCTGGTGCTCTCGCAAGAGGGAGTGAGAGCCCGTCCTTCTACTCCACCATCTAGAACCAAAAATCCCTCCTCTTGCTTTTGATGTCCCTGCCCAAAGCTTCAGGATCTACTACTAGCAGCTTGGAGATGAGATAACAGCAGAAGGGAAGGTATATTTCTCACATCTTAAAATGAGAAGTTTGAACCATTTCCCACAGAATATTGTTTTGTGTGACGGTTAACGTATTACTGAAATGCCACACAGTTAATTCGTAAGATGGGAACTACTCCTATTGTTTGTAGACCATACATTCTCAACAGGGGTTTGAAATTTGGGTTTGGGGAATTTTAAAATCTTAGATAGTAAAAAAAAAAATAAAAAATAAAAAAAAACTTAGATAGTACAATAGTGTGTCATCTTCCAAAATTCAGCAGGTGTGCAATATATGTGTAATTTTAAAATTTCATGGGGGAGAGTGATTAGGAAAAAAAATGTCTGAAAGGGCTCCTTAGGTGGGGTGATAAGGTCTGTATTGTTGTGGACCAATGAAATGCAAAAAGAGAAGGCTACTCATATATGGCTTATTATATCTGTATCTCCTGACCCTTAAAATGTGTGTGCCTTTTTTTAATAATAAAAAGAAGAAATATACTGTTTGTGTTCCTTACATAGTTAATGATAGGTCATTTTGGATATTCTCTACTTTAGGGAAGCATGGAAAGCACTTGGTGATTCAAGCCCCAGCCGAGCAATGCAGGAGTATATTGCTGTAGTTAAAAAATTAGATCCAAGTTGGAATCCTCAGGTAAGACCAAATGATTGTAAATAATATTTTCCAATAACATACTATCTTTCTCTCAAATAAATGTTTAAAACTAAGCTTTAGGCTTAAATAACATCCTTACAGTTTTATTTTCTCAAATCAAAAGATTATAAAGTTATTGCAGTATTTATCTAAAAATATTATTGCTTATATGTTAACATAATCAGCTACTGATACTGAGAACTTCTCTGAATTGTAGAGCATTTTTAAAAGCATAATTGTAATTTCAGTCGTGTAAAAACTCAATTCATTTCAAAATTTGAAAGAGTTTAACTTGAGATCATATTATTATCTTGAGAAATGGAAGGTTTTTTTTTAATGAGCACTTTCTATGAAAGTACAAAATGCTTGTTGATAGGGATAAAATATGAATGACATGCTTTCTGCCATTATGTAAAGTACCTTATAGAATATAAAACATATCAAAAATAGAGTAGCAGTATAAAACAATAATAATGCGAATGCTAGGGTATCCAATGGAAGAACAGATTACTTTGGACTTTGGCGGCAGTTATTACATTGTTACATATTTATTACCAGTATGAAGGAATTTTATTCCACCAGTGATGGAATCTTAAAATGTCAGAGTTGTAAGGAATCTTAAAGATTTATATGTTATGATATATAAAAGTATGTCTTAATTATGAGTACAAAGGGGGAGAGATAACCAAGTTAGGATAGCTCTAATGATATGACTGCCTTTTGGAAATCATTGAAACATTTCCTGATGTTTTTGATGTGCATGAGTATTCATTCTCAGAAACATTCCTTTTTATTAATATCTTTTATAAAACGTCAAGTTTGCATACAGATATATACCATAAAGGTCGTAAGGACTTAAACTCTGAAATTCAGTGGTAAAAACAGGTGCATCTCTGAGCTGAACTCAGCCTGAACACAAATGGCATATTTATTTATTTATTTATTAACATCTTTTTGGAGTATAATTGCTTTACAATGATGTGTTTCTGCTGTATAACAAAGTGAATCAGCTATACATATACATACATCCCCATGTCCCCTCTCTCTTGCGTCCCCCTCCCACCTTCCCTATCCCACCCCTCTAGGTGGTCACAAAGCACCGAGCTGATCTCCCTGTGGCACGATATCTAAGAAAAACAAAAACAAGACTTGAAATTGCATGCCTTTAAGTGAGTCCTTACTCTTCAGGTCCAGCCGCTGTGGTCTCAGTTCTTCCCTATTGACTTATACTTGACTGTTTCTGATGCCTGGCTTATGTAGGTATTTGAGTTGATAACTTCTGATAAATGACAGAATTTATGATTTCTTACCTTCAATACTTTAATTACTAAGTAAAATTCCGTTTTCTATGACTCTTACAAATGCACATTCCATGTAGTTAGGTAGTTCTTCCGTAGGGAAACCCAAACAGGCATTAAGGATGTTTTTAAAAATATCTAAATCTTACATATTGAACTTATAAAACTTGAGTAGACTAAGCAGAACCAAAGATACTTTCTTTTTTCTTTTCTTTTTTTTCAACTTCTTCATTGGACAAAGATACTTTCAAGTAAAAATGATTCTTTAATACATTGTTCTAAAAATATGTTAACATCATAATCTAGTTGTAAACAGGAATTTTACGTTTCATTTACGTTTTAATTTTTAGTTTAAACATTCTGAGCTGGTCCCTTTGACTCATAGCTTTTTTTCCCCCTTGTTTTTGATTGGTATGGGGCAGATCATAATCTCAGTCTCAAGAGATTTGGTATTTGGTTCATTATCTTTTAGGTTAAAAGAACCATTTTCTTTTGATATTTGTTTCTAAAAACGATGAAATAGTAACGACTCTCATGCTGAGTGTGTTAAGTTCTTTGCATGTATTGCCCTTTGAAATCTTCATAAGAATTTTAAGAATTAGAAACTGTACTTTAAAAAAGAGAAAATTCAGGCACAGAGAGGCTTAGTAACTTTTCTAAGATTAGCCAGCTAATGAATGGTGTTGCCAGGATTTGGACCTATGCTTATATGAGTCCAGATCCCCACCCCTAATCACTCTGCTATCTGTTCTATAGCTGACATTATGTGTATTAAAAAAAGCATGCAAGCTTAAGTGTATGGAAAATTCAAGTAAAGATATTTATTTATTTTAAATTTATTATTTTAAAATTTTATTTTATCTTTGGCTGCGTTGGGTCTTTGTTGCTGAGCACGGGCTTTCTCTAGTTGTGGCGAGTGGGGCTACTCTTTGTTGCTCTGCGCAGGCTTCTCATTGCAGTGGCTTCTCTTGTTGAGGAACATGGTCTCTAGGTGTGTGGGCATCAGCAGTTGTGGTGTGTGGGCTCAGTAGTTGTGGCTCACGGGCTCTAGAGCGCAGGCTCAGTAGTTGTGGCACACGGGCATAGTTGCTGTGTGGCATGTGGGATCTTCCTGGACCAGGGCTCGAACCCGTGTCCCCTACATTGGCAGATGATTCTTAACCACTCTGCCACCAGGGAAGCCCAAGATAGTTACTTTTTTTTTTTTTTTTTTTTTTTTTTTTTTTTTGCGGTCCCCGGCCCCCCCCCCCCCGTGGCCTCTCCTGCCACGGAGCACAGGCTCCGGACACGCAGGCCCAGCGGCCACGGCTCATGGGCCCAGCCGCTCCGCGGCATGCGGGATCCTCCCGGCCCGGGGCACGAACCCGCGTCCCTTGCATCGGCAGGCGGACTCCCAACCACTGTGCCACCAGGGAAGCCCCCAAGATAGTTACTTTTTAAATCAAAGCTACACGGTACCTTGAAGTATAAAATGAATAGTGCTTTAAAATGTAACCCTTTTCCTGTTTTCTGTTTTGTTTTGTCTTTCTCAGGAATGTACTGTTGAATGTCTAATATAATCAAGGCAATTCTTTTGCTTTTACTTACATAGTTTTTTGGGAGGGAGGCAGAGAGGGTGAGTTTCTTTTTTGTTTTGTTTTAAATAAATTTATTTTTATTTTTGGCTGCATTGGGTCTCTGCTGGAGCACACGGGCTTTCTCTAGCTGCGGCAAGCGGGGGCTATTTTTTGTTGCAGTGCGTGGGCTTCTTATTGCGGTGGTTTCTCTTGCTGCACAGCAGGGGCTTCAGTAGTTGTGGCTCATGGGCTCTAGAGTGCAGACTCAGTAGTTGTGGCGCACAGGCTTAGTTGCTCTGTGGCACGCGGGATCCTCCCGGACCAGGGCTCGAACCCATGTCCCCAGCATTGGGAGGCAAATTTTTAACCACTGCGCCACTAGGGAAGTCCCAAGGGTGAGTTTTTATTTTGGTATAATTTACTTTTACTTCTATTTTTTGTTTTGGCGGTAGACGGGCCTCTCACTGTTGTGTCCTCTCCCGTTGCGGAGCACAGGCTCCGGATGCGCAGACTCAGCGGCCATGGCTCACCAGCCCAGCTGCTCTGCGGCATGTGGGATCTTCCTGGACTGGGGCACGAACCCACGTCCCCTGCATTGGCAGGCAGACTCTCAACCACTGCGCCACCAGGGAAGCCCTATTTCTATTATTTTTGACAAATAAAAATTATATATATTTAAGGTATACAATGTGATGTTTTGGTGTTTGGTATATATCTTGTGAAATGATTATCACAGTCAAACTAATTAATATATCCCTCACCTCCCATATTTATCATGGTTTTATGTGTGTGTGTGACGTGAGAACACTTGAGATCTACTCTAAGCAAATTTCATGTATACAATACATTATTATTAATTAGTGTACTTATTAGTAACTAATAATAGTACATTATTATTAACTAATGTATACTGGATGTAACTTTTTTTAAAGTTTCAAGAATAGTACAAGACACTTCTGGATGGCCTTTGTCTAGTTACACCAGTTTTTTTTTTACATTTGTTTTAGCATTCTTTCTCTATTTACTCATAAATATATACATACTACATATAAATAAGTTTTTTCGGAATTATTTTATTATTATTTTTGAACTAAAAGTTATAGACATCATGTCCCTTTACTACTTAATCAATATGTTACTATACTGCAGTTATCAAAATTGGTAAATTTTTTTTTTTTTTGCTGTTAGGAATTCTTTTGAAATTCTTTTTTTTTCAGAACCCTGGGCTCAAGAGTTCCTACAGGGCATGCGTGTGTGTGTGTATATATGGGTGTGTATACATATTTCTTTTAATATAAAAATTGTAAATGTATATTTAAGGTATATAATATGCTGATTTGATGTATATATACATAGTGAAATGATTAGTCAAGCTAACTAATATAACATCTCCTCTCATAGTCACCTTTTCTCTATGTGTTTGTGATGAAAACACCTGAGGTTTACTCTCTTAGCATATTTCCAGTATTCAATACAGTGTTATTAACTGTAGTCATCGTGCCTGTACATTAGATCCCTACTTTGTACCCTTTGACCAGTATCTCGCTATTTCCCCTAGCCATTGGTAAACAACGTTCTATTCTCTGCTTCTATGAATTTCACTTTTTAATTTTTTTAGATTCTATACATGAGATCATATAATACTTGTCTTTCTCTGTTTGGCTTATTTCACTTAGCATAATGTCCTCCAGGTTCATCCATGTTGTCATAAGTGGTAAGATTTCCTTCATTCTCGTGGCTGAATAATGTTCTGGCGTGTGTGTGTACACACACACACACACACACACACACACACACACACACACACAATATCTTATTTAGGCACTCATCCATACATGGACACTTAGGTTGTTTCCATATATTGGCTATTGTGAATAATGCTGAAAACGTGAGAGGGCAAGATATCTCTTTGAGATCCTGATTTCATTTCCTTTAGATGTATACCCAGAGGTGAGATTGCTGGATCATATGAGAGTTCTATTTTTAATTTTTTAAAGAACCTCCATACTGTTTCTCATAATGGCTATAGCAATTTACATTCCTACCAATAATATATGATTCTCTTTTCTCAAATTCGGGAATTTTGACATTGATTCAATACTACTGTCAAATCCATAGTTCATATTCAAGTTTATCATGTATCTAA